ACATCTATGTGTTAGAAACTGGTTTTGTATGATGATCGTATGTAATATTTATTGGGTCCTTGTGTTAAGTATTCTTAGTATTTTCCATGTATTAATTACTGTAATCTTCAATTCTGTGAGACAAATTCTGTTAGTCCTGTAAGGAAGCTGAAGCTCTGCAAAGTTTGTAATTTTCCCAAGAAAATTATTGTAATCCAGGGTGTGAACCCCGGCTGTCTCACTTCCAAGCTCTTACATTTGGGCATTCTGCTTTCTTTTGTTATAAAACACATATAATGAAATTCCCTCCTCATCACTTAGAAATTACCTTAATATTTAACAGGTATAGCTCTAAAAAGAGGGATTTGCTTTTGTTAAATATTTATACTCTTACACATACAACTGTGAATTAAAACTTTGGGTTTAACATGTCCTGCAGGAAAGAAACTTTCAGATTCATGTTGGCTGTGTCAAGTAAGGTTGCAGGTAGGAATCCTATGTCAGCCAATTTGAGCAGAAGGGAATTCATTGAAAGATTATCAGAAGCTCAGAGAATACACCAGTAACTAGGAAACTGTGCTGGAACAAAGACAATTCTAGAGGCTAGAATGTGATCTGATTCATAGCGGAACTATCAGGTTAGGAGCCGAGGTCGGATGTCTCTGCTCAAAATTCAGATTCTAGAAAGGCCACATCTGATTGGCGTGAGACTTGGCCATGGGACAGAGGCAGTTTCTCAAAAGGAAATCAGAGTAGATAAGGAATGGATATTACACAACAACAACAAAAAGCAACACGAAAAAGGAAGAACATACTTGAATACGGTTTTATAAATATTAGCTACTCCATCAAATAGTAAAAGCTGCACTCCAAGAATGAATAATATTGCCAATCAGAAAATTCTGGAAACCATCTTTCCTAATACTCTGTCCCTCAGACAGGTAACCAGGTTTCTACTTTATCTTGTTTCAAGCCACCATTACCTTTTCTCTAGATAATGCAGTAATCTCCTAACTGGTCTCCCTGTCTTGATCCTCTGTCAGTCAGTCTTCCACACGTAAACCAAATGTTTTGAAATACAGATGTGATTTGGTGACTTCCTAGGTGAGTCTTCATTGCTCCTGGATAAAGTCCAGACATTCCACACAACCTGGGCCCTGCTTACCTCTCCAGGTGCATCTCTCACCACCCTCAAAGTTCTACTCCTTCCAGCCTAAAATCCTTTGCCAAAAAAACAGTTGATCCTGCCTAGGACCCTTCTACCCATAGTTCTCCACCTCTTGGAAGTGCTCTCTGCAAGACTCATGTCTGGATTAAATGCACCTTCTAAGTGTTTGATAGCAGTGTTTTTCAAAGTGTAGATAGATCAGTCATCTGAGGACTGCCAGTCCTTGACAAGATAATTACAGAAATTAGAATTGCTGTGATACTTTATTTTACAAAAATAATGGCGTTTTGAGTTACAATTTTTATTTTTAAATTGGTACTTCACAGACTGAGAAACACTGTTCTATGGTACCCTGTGACATTTTTATCACGATACCTCTGCTAAGTTGCAATCTGTTCTAATTTTCTATTTCTCTTTGCATATTCCCCTCCTTGAATGGAAGCTCTAAGATTTCAGGAGCAATGTCTACTTTTTAAGTAGTCTCAGAGTGCCTGGCACAGAGAGGACTTAAAAATACTTTTTTAGTGAATGGAAATAATAATTAGTTTTATTAGAGAAACAGTAGTAGAAAAACTGTAGTGTGAAGTCTTTGGATATCCCGGCTAGCCATCTGTGTGCAGATCATTTTTCCCCAGTCAGATCAAACCAATTTCTATAGGATAAAGGAGGCAGGCTGAGAACATTTTTTAAGAAGTAACAAGTAAAAGTGTTAAAATTTTGAGTGTTCCCAGCCCTTGAGCAGGTGATAGAATTATAAATCCTGTCCTCAACAAAACAAAACAAAAAACAACCCACCCCCCATACAAACATACATACACAATATTTGCATATAGTATCACAGACTGGTTAAAAATACATGCTTTGATTCAGGGATTATCAATAATTTTGGTCCCAGCACCCACTGACAAATATTAAAGTCCCCAAGAAGATTTTGTGGATTACATCTTTCCATGTTTGCCATATTCGAAATTAAACCTAAGACTTTTTTTTTTTTTTAAAGAATGCACATTATTCTATTAGCTGTAGCCATTAGAACAACGATATGAGAACATGTCCTTTAGCCTCTGGAAAATCCATCGAGTGTCTTTCTAGAAGTACATATTAGCTATTGCACATATGGAATTCCAAACTTGACATTTTCAAGGAATGACATTTTGCACATGAATAGGTGCCAATTTTATGTAATTCTATACTACATATTATATATGTAAAATCGGGTCCACACAGTATATGTGTACCAGTCTCACACAAGACTGGGCTGATACTATTCTTCGTCATAATCTTCCTCATCTTCATCTTCCTCAGTTTCTTCCATTTCTTCAACTGGAAGAGCAGCTGCTTGCTCCTGTGCAGCTTTGAAAGCCCGCTCTTCTTCCACACTAGGATCATCCATTTCTGTAATTTCGGCTCCACTGGGGTACTCTTGGTAAACTGGTGGTAGAGCTGGGGGTGTATAGTTGTCTGGACTATATTTATGACCCCAGCCTATGTAGAAATTTTCAAACTTTCTATAAAGTTTGAAAAGAAAGTAGATGATCATTATATCCTTTTTCAGTAAGAGAAGTTGATCCTTCTCTTCTGTAAAAGCTGATCACTCTCAGTGTCATAGTCCCATAATTTTAAAACACTCCATTTGAAGTGCTAGGGATGAACTAGCCCTCGATGATTCTTCTACCACAGGACACTACTGTGATCCAAACTGCTTAAGCTGGTTAAGAGGCTGGCCAAACTCGGTCAAAATGTACCCTACACCTAGACCGCCATCTTTAATCATTTAACTGCTATTTTCAGGAAAAACGAAACAAGTTTAAAAGTTACTAATCCTCTTTACAGTTAGGAAGAATTAAAAACTTGCCAACCTGGCAAATTGTTGGTATGGCGGAGGATGCTTGTGATTGGTCACAAACCTGTGTGTGGTGTTTCAGGCCTACCCATATGCAGTTGTCAAGCTTTATCTGGCAGGCCTCATGGGAAAACTGCTGTTTCTGTGCCATACTTGATGCCCAGCCAGCGCACTGCAGTCTCTGAAGGAAAGTTCTAGTCAAAGACTCTGACCCATCCGGCCCGCCATGCTCTTTGCATAGTTGAGTTCCTAGCACAGCTGCCTTCACTCTAGGTCTTATCGGAGGCCTTCAGCAAAGGTCTTCAGGTGCCTCTGCCAAGGCCTCCTTATGGGGTTGTGGAAGGGGGGCACCTTAAAGACACTTCTCTCTACTCTGACTCAGTACTCGGTACTTTTTCACTTCTAGCCCTTACCCCCACCCTCCACCAGCTTCCTGGGCCCTTGAGGCCATAAAATTGCAGAAGCCTGATATCTGGGGACTCCTCAGTGAGATGACCTCTACATCTACACTGACGCACCGACCTTCCATCGGTGTGCCATTCCATGAAGGAAAACGGGACAGGAGCAGTCAGAGTTTTCTCTTGCTTGTATTGTCACAGTAAATGATCAAAAGCTTTTCATTTTTGGCTTGTGGCTTTAATGGCATCTCTCACATTTGGCAGCTCAGCTCTCTCTCCAGCTTAGCTGAGCTTCTGACACTGGGTTCTTAGACGAGAAATGGAAGCATAAGACAAGTGGAAGTGTATGTTCTGGGTGAGGCATAAAAGGACACTGAGTATCGGGGCGCCTGGGGGGCTCAGGCGTTGAGCGGCTGCCTTCGGCTCGGGTCATGGTCCCAGGGTCCCGGGATTGAGCCCCGCGTCGGGCTCCCTGCTCGGCGGGAAGCCTGCTTCTCCCTCTCCCCCTGCCACTCCCCCTGCCTGTGTTCCCTCTCTCGCTGTGTCTCTCTCTGTCAAATGGATAGATAAAATCTTAAAAAAAAAAAAAAAAAGGACACTGAGTATCCGCTTGATCCTAATTCTCTTGAAAGCAATAGCTAAAATAATACATATTTTAAATTATTTTTTCTCAAGATATCCGACAAAAATTATATGAGATTCAAACTAAACAGTGCATAGAACTACTCCATTAATCCTAGAAAATGAGTAAGTCTATGACTCAAATAATCAGAATAAAAACCATATTAGGACAGAGGTCTGAATTACTCTGGTGTTCTAAATCTGACGCTTTACTACGTAGTATAGATGTCACTTGACTGAATCTTATGGCACACACACTTGACATGCCAAGATGAGTTAAAACAAGAGTAACCCCCTTCTCCTCCTTCCTGAGCATTCCTGGCCCAGCCTTGGCTCCAGAAACAGACACCACTGAGAAAATCCCTCCAGTGAGAAAATAGCCTCACAGATTGTGGTGGTGTAGGTTCCCCGGGAGTGGTCAACTCAGCAACAGGAAGAAGCTCGTCGTAGGCAGTGACGTTGTACCCGCTATGGAATCTGGGGACTTCATCATCTGCCTCCAGCCTCTTTCTCTCTCTTTATCGCAGCCCCATTTCTTAAGCTGTGAAATGGGGGACCTCTCTCCCCAGAGTTGTGATAAGAACTCATAGGGAAGATGTAAGTACGAGTGCTGAACATGACATCTGGCTCATGGCCTGGACCTTCCTAGGTATCCCTCCTCCCAACCCCTTACTCTGGGTAGACTGCGCCATACTCTTTCTTCCCTCCCATCCTGGTCTGGGATCTCACCCCAGGTTTTTGTGAGCGGCTGCCCTGCACAACCACCCAGGGCAGCCTCGTCTGTCACTCTGGGGTTACTCTAACTGCCTCACCCAGGTTTGTACTTCACCTGGGGAAGCAGGTGAGGGAGGGGAAAAGGAAAAAAAAGAATAAAACTGGAACATAACGGCATTCTAGCGATAACTATAATTTCCAGCACTTAAATAATCATGATAATGGCTTTGTATACTTACTTGCCGTTGGAAACGGCATACGCTCCAGGCCAAAGGTTGGATCTCAGGACTGCAAGAGCATATTGAGGAATGAGATTTGAGGACAGCTGTGTCGTCCAAGGTGGTATATTCTGGATTTCTGTAAACCAAAGAGAAATTCAAAAGCTTAACTCCTAAATAGACAGGGATCTACTGTGTAACAGAGATCTTTTTACAAATATTAAAACACACATACTTGACATATGAAGAAAAATTATGCATCAGCAGCTTAACATAAAGTCAGAAGGATAATTTATGAACATTGTGGAACAACAAAATTTGATCATTTATATGCATGTATGTGTGCATGTACGTGTCCATCTGTGCAACAGAAAAGTTTTAAAAAGGGAGAGGAGAACAATGTGGTAGAGAGAATATTATTGAATAACCAAATAAAAGATCAAATTATTCTTATGAAAGAGAACAAGAGTTACAAGCAAAACTGCTCCGAAACTGAAGAGGAAGAAACAAGACTAGGGAGGACAAGAGTAGACTTAAAAAACCCACAATACCTCAGACGACTACGTCATGTGTTTGTGGCCACAGGTTATGGTCTGCAGAATGCAAGACAAGAACGGTACACAAGACAACTGTCAGCATTTCCCATAAGAGCTGCAACATTTACATTTCTTCCCTGCATCACTCCTTCACCTTCTGTCCGAGAAAGTTGGCGGTGAGGCCAGCTATATTCTCTAGTCCCCACTGTCCCAAAACACATGAAGGGGAAAAGGGATGAAATGTTGGCTCCTGTTCACTTTTTATAGGTTTCCAACTCCCATTTATTAACCATATAATATACATAGTATATTATATATACATGCATAAAAACACTATAGCATATATATGTAGACTGTATATAGTATATTATATGTACATACATAAAAATATACTACCGTATGTATGTATACTATATATACCGCATTATGTATACATAGTATCTACATACGAATATAATACACATGGTATATTATGTAGTTTGTGTAAAATTACCCAAATCTTCAGAGATTGGTGTCAAAAGAGGAGGCCCCACTTCCTGTTCCATATAGTCAGGCTCTTCTCCTTTTTCTTCTTCTTTTTCTTCGTCTTCCTCTTCTTCCTCCTCCTCACTTTTTTGTGTGGGGTTGAACCAATTGCAGCGACCCTGGGAATGGAGTATTGTAAGATTTAGTAATCTAATGAGGACTTTAAAATATTGGAATATTCATTTGGATTAAAGCAATTATCTGCAGGAGGTCCTACTGTATGGGAATTTGATCAATCACTTACTCATTCAACATCCCAAGTACTAGGTTTTTGATCTAGCTTGTTTCAATCAAAAAATGGTACAATTTATTTCATAAATTTGCCAACTTCTTAAAGTTACAGAGCATTTATATTTTGAAATCAGCAAAACCTTAGTGAAAAAAATAATGCACTTTACTAATTTGTAATAAATAATTTACGTGAAAGTGGTAGGGTACTATTATTAGTGGCAATAACAAATTTTTAAATGTGATATTAAGTTAGGTAAGGAGGTTTGGGGTTATTGCTCATTTAAGTAACTCTTATATCCAGAGATGTATAAGAGTCCCTCTTCCATAGATCAAAGTGTAGTGATTTTCTACCTGCAGATGAGGCAGTATAGCAGGGTGATTAGGAGGATGGACGCCAGATCCCTTCTGCCTATTCACATGTGACTCTGTTGCTTATTAGCTATATTCCCTTTTCCACATTTTCTAAATTCTCTGCCTCAATGTCCTCATCTGTAAAATCAGGATAATACTAGTCTTCCATACGGTTGCGAGGATTACATGAGATAATACATATCAAGTGCTAGTAAGAGCACCTGGCAGAGGAGGTGCCAATCCAGCACTACTTGTTTTCATTTTTGTTATAATATTTTATTTTTCTTGGTAAAAAAGCTCCATGTATTACAGAAATAGAATAAAAGAACTGTTCCCAAAATGGGAATGCATCTATCTATATTTAATGTATGAAATATAGTTTCACAACACACATTCATCTAAATTCTCACATAACTTGTCAAATTCTCCATAGAAATGTTTCTTTTATTTCTGTCTGGGAATAAAAATGTGCTCAAAGATCCCAGATCTACACTACTTGGCAGTTTCGTAATACTCTTGTGTTTTTATTTGATTTTTCAATGGTTTCTTTGGCTAGGATCTGAAGAACTTTGTTTTGTATATATCTGTGCATGGTAGAGAGAATTTAATAAAAATTTGCTGATTGGCTGAGCGACTGAGAATTGCAAAACCCCTACCTGAGAGAGGATGTGTTGGACATGATGAACCCAGTTGGATAGGGATTCCACGAGATCAGTCACTTGGATGCCTTCAAAATCGGGGTTTTCTTCAAAGCTATCTCGCCTGCCTTCTACCTCTTCCTCCTCCTCTACTTCCTGTTCACCAAACTGATAGAATCCCAGAGGGCTGACATGGGTCCCTGCTGAAATTCTGGCAATCTGCGCTCGTAAGTAATTGCTCTCATTTCCTGGGAACGGTGGGTAGGTTACAACGGGAGTCTCTAAACGCCCAGTGAAAAACTTCTTGATCTTTCTTGCAATAACAATTTGTGCAGGCGTAACCGATGGTAACTTCACCCATGGTCCTCCTGGTTCGTTGCAAACAAAATACACATATTTGTTGGCCCCTGTTCTACTTTCTTCTTTTGGTATAGGCTGTGGGGTCTTGTAAAATGTCCTTGGTAATTCCTCTTCGTCATTTTCATCAGCTTCGCTGTCTCCATCGTCCCTCTCTTCCATTACATCTTCGTCTTCTACGTCGTCTTCATCTTCTCCCTCACGGACTTCTACTTCCGCTACAATGTAATTCATTTCCAGACCCAAGATCTTGCCCCAGAAGCGGCATCTTTGGATTGGGTGGGTGTCAGTAAGCTGCTTGAGGGCAAGAAATATGCGATAAGTCTCATCGGTGCCCAAACCAACTCCAGCTTGTTCAAAATAAAAAGCTGACTCCATTACATTTGGGAGAGAGTTTTCTGCCTGGGGATACAAAAACACTGTGGTTAATGTTAGGAAACTGCTTGCTTCCCTTTTCCTTTCTCAACATCTTGGTATTAGCTCTACCTGCTCTCTCCACCATGTCTTTGACATTTCTTGCGAGGTTTAGATCGAACTCTGACAATTCCTCTATTCCAATTTTTCTCTCATTACTTATAAATGTAACTTCTACCATTGTGTCTTATACTTAGCAATATAATAGTTGCCTTGTTGTATGTGTGTATCTTAAGGATAATTTAATAGGTACTATGAATAATAAAAATTCAACATCTTTTTATAAAAGATATTTAAGTGGTCCCTTTACTATCCTGAAATAATAAAATATAATCTATCTTCCTACATATATTTAGAAAAAGTTTATATATGTTTGTATATATTACCATATTTTTTCTTAGTAATAAGTATTTATTATCTACAAATGATAATATTTAGGATAAATAAAAATCAATATGGCCCTCTATATAAGATAATATATAGGATAAATAAAAGGAAGATATAATAAAACAAGTACTCAGACATGACTTCCCCTGAAAACATAATTTAGTCAGGTGTTTGCCCCTACTTATAGTAAATACTTTTGGATTTAACATAGGAAGAAAATAAAAAATGATTTCATAAAAAAATAGAAGTGAAAAAGTAGTCTCAAGTGGACCCTAAGAAAACATCTGTGAGAAAGTATTTAAGTAAGATAGGGATCACTTGCAAATTTTAGATAAATTTAGACAAATTTTAGACATTGAAGATGGAGAATTGAGAGCACTTTGCTGCTCTTACAAGTTACCTGCTCTTGTTTATATTATAATTTTGGTGTCAAAATAAGCATGATGACTTTTTACAATCCTCATCTCTTTCATTTTGGCATGTGTTGCACCCCTCACTTTCTTTTCCTTTTTCTTTTTTATTTGAGTGTAGTTGACACACGATGTTACATTTGTTTCAGGTGTAGCCATAGTGAAGTTTATACCTACGCTGTGCTCACCACAAGTGTAGCTGCCATCCGTCACCATATGATACTATTACAATATCATTAACTGTATTCCCTATACTGTATCTTTTATTTCTGTGACATTCATTTCAAAACTGGAAGCCTGTGTCTCCCACTCCCCTTCACCCATTTTGCCCATCCCCCTATCCCCCTCCCCTCTGGCAACTATCACTTTCTTCTCTGAATTTATGGGACTAATTCTGCTTTTTGTTTGTTTGTTTATAAATTTGTTGTGGTTTTTTGGATTCCACATATGAGTAAAATCATATGGTATTTGTCTTTCTCTGTTTGACTTATTTCACTTAGCATTATACATTCTAGGTCTATCCATGCTGTCACAGTAGCACAGTGTCATCCTTTTTTATGGCTGTGAAATATTCCCTTGTCCTTATCCATTTGTCTTTCAATGGACATTTAGCTTGCTTCCATATCTTGACCATTTTAAATAATGTTGCAATTAACATAGGCATGCATATATCTTTTCAAATTAGTGTTTTTGTTTTCTTTTGGTAAATACCCAGTAGTAGAATTATTGGATCATACGGCATCTCTATTTTTAATTTTTTGAGGAAACTCCCTACTGTTTTCCACAGTGGATCTCACTCTCCATCCTACTCTGCCCTTGGTAACTATTTCTTCTTAGTCTCTAATTGGCTCCTTTTCCTTAATTGAGCCCCAAATATTCGTGTCCTCAAATTTCAGGCATCATTCAGTACTTTATGCTTAGAAGAGTGCTTCCACACACTACAAGTGTTACCTGGTTGTTTAAAATCCAGCTCTCTTACTTTGACTTTTCTCCCATGTTCTACACCTACGTTTCTAGTCACCTATGAGAAATTTCAGCTGAATAGTCTACATGTACTTCAAATTAAGATTGCATTCATATTTCTTTCAAAACCTTCTCTTTTTTTGAATCACAGATCTGTACTTCTGAAACAGATAATGCAACATATGTTAAGAAAAAAGAAAAAGAAGAAGATAGCAGGAGGGGAAGAATGAAGGGGGGTAAATCGGAGGGGGAGACGAACCATGAGAGACGATGGACTCTGAAAAACAAACTGAAGGTTCTAGAGGGGAGGGGGGTGGGGGGATGGGTTAGCCTGGTGATGGGTATTAAAGAGGGCACGTTCTGCGTGGAGCACTGGGTGTTATGCACAAACAATGAATCATGGAACACTACATCAAGAACTAATGATGTAATGTATGGTGATTAACATAACAATAAAAAAGTTTAAAGTCACAGAAAAAAAAAACCTCCTCTTTATACCAATCTTTGCCAATAACATCACCATTCACTCAGTTTCCCAAATTAATTTCATCATCCTGTTTCTTCTGACTCTCTGGACTTTCATATTTAACTAGTTAGAGTCCTATTGATTCTACCATCTAAAGAGTTGTTCGCATTATTCCTTCCTCATCAGCTCATTTTTACCATACTAGTCTCCATCCTGACTCCTTGTCCTGTCACAGAAGGCTTCGAATGCTCTCCTTGCCCCTGTTCTAATCTTTCTTCTTTCATTCTCCTCCACGTTATTACCAGAGTTACCTTTCTAAACCAAAAGTCAGACCATTGCTATTTTCCATGAAAAGCTTCTATTGACTTCCCATCATATAGAAGAAAGAAATTTCTTATCAATGCACAAGAGCAGGCTGGCTTAAAAACCTTGTTTGCTTTGTTTCTATCATTCCCTCAAATCCATGTTCACTTTCCCAAACATTGCATAATGTCTCCTGACTTTGTATTGTTCTTTTTGCTCAGAATTTATTCCTTATCGTCTTTATCTCGTGAACTTCTACTTGTCCTTCATGACCCAAATGAAATATCACCTCCAGTACAAAGTCTTGCCCAATTCCCAATAGTGGAGTTATTTATTGCTCCATTCAGTTTCATAGCTTGTCAAAACAATATAACAATTGCTACTCTCCATTAAATTCCCAGTATGTGCCAAACCCTTCATATATAGTACTCACCCTCTCGAGTTGTTGCCATGTGATTATCCCCGAGGCTTGAAAAGGTTAAATCACTTACTCACACTCACACAGCAAGTAAGTGATTGAGCTAGGATTCTAGTCCCAAGCTCCTGTTTTTCCCGCCAAACGATGCTATCTCTATTATTGTGCTAATCAAACAGTTTTATAGGCTTTTTTGCTTCTTTCACTAGACTGTGAGCAACTTAAAGTCAGAAAAGTCTTTTTTATGTGTATTTCATTTCATGTGTATATTTTGTTCATGTGTAGCTGGCATGCGGTACGTAGTCACAGTGTGAATCAATGGGTGAATGAATAAATGAAAGCTGAAAACTAGGAACAGGAATTCTCATGTGGTCAAAGACAGGAATAGAAACACGAACACTCTAAGTCTTAAGTCTGAGACAGAGTTGGTCACAAAGCTCATATTTCAACACTTCCAAGACCTATGTGTCTTCCTGTTCCTGCATCTTTCTACTGTCTGAGGTAGAACTTTTAATCTTCATCTGATGGCTCAGCTCTTCCTGGCTCTAAATCGTACTCCTCATTAGGAAGAACTTATGAAATCTGGTTAGGAGGTTCAAGTTCCAGGACCAAAACACCTTATTTGTGTTCTCACTCCTAGTTTTAGGATGCAGATCCCTACCATGTCAGACTGTGCCTAGAGAGAGCCCAAAGCCCCATTCCTATATTGGAGTCTGACTTCTCTTTGATAAACTCCTCCCTGAGAGTGTCTGCCTATCTGCCTGATCCCCACACACTGATTGCCCCCAGACTCGTCCTCACTGTGTGTGGCTATTTAACCACATGTTTAGAGTAAGATATTTTCAGAAAAGGTTCAGCCAATGTCAACTCCTTGACAACTGTCACCTGTGCCTTCTGAGTACTCTGTACCCCACTGTGTCAGGTTGGTCTCCCCACAAGGCTTGCAGAGCCCTAGAAGATGAAGCTGCTCTCTAGATCCCTACTCTCCTATGTTTTTCTTGACTGAACTCTCCACCTTTTTCCGAAAATATCTTAGACCAAACATCAAATTTGCAAGTATACAGACAGATTTTTAAGTAGTCTAGTGGTAACACAACATGGAAGCTCAGTAGATGTATAGTATAAATCACTCAGTAGTATAAATTACAAGCATGTGGGTATTCAGGAAACAGAATACTTGATGCTATTTTAAAAATATTTGGAGCAAAAATTTCTGTGGTACAACTTATTTTATTCTTTAATGATAGTTTTTTGTCTCTGACACCAGTTTTCTCTGTAAATATTTTCAACACTTTGTCTATAGTGATTAAAATAAATATTTTATCCCTCTCTTCTTATATTATGTCCCATTGATGTAAAATGCATAATATCAAGACATAATATGAGGAAGTTGCCTTAGAAAATAATGCAAATGACATTAAAGATACTTCTAATTATTCTAGTAAATTAAAGGGGCAAATAGGCAACTTAAACAAGCAGCCCAACTTTTAACTATCTGACAATTCATTGATTCAATAAATATTTAATAAGAAACAGCTTTAGACCCACATCTATATCAGGTACTTTGGAGAATACAAAAGGTGAATCATTTTCTCTGATATCAAGGAGCTCAACCCCACAAACATATAACAAACAACCAAGCCTATGAAATATTAAAACACAATGTAAAAAAATAAGAAACCTTAAACATGGATATGAATGGTGTGAAATTGAGGTTGCAAGTACTATTTAGGAAACTATAAAAGATAGTCTATAAGAATTTCAAGCCACACCCACTCATCTCAAATAAAACCTTAAGATTGAACTATTCAAATTTATAGCCTTGACTTACTATTTCATCTTCCAGTTCTTGGTCAGCTCCTTCCAAATTTCCATTGAGAAAAAGGGCCTTTTGCTTCTCTGCTATTTCATATATTGGAAGCATCTCATTCTCATTTTGGAGTGTATCTAATTTTTTCCTAAAATGTTCCATCTTCACATCTTGGCTGATACTTTCAATGATGTCCACAGCATTTTCAGGACGCTCATCTAAGACCTTGGTCAGCATATCAGAAAGATGATCATATCTACCCAAAAAGAGAAAATTCCAGATAATATCCATGTCAAACAACTTTCGAACAAGCATTCCATGCTTCAACCTGAAAATGCCTTTGTGTCAAATTATAAAATATGTTTATTAGATTTTAATTCATATTTATAGCTTTTTTAATTTGGAAGATTTAATAATTTGTTTTAATAGAATGGCAAAAAAAGAGGATGCAGTTCTTTTTGTAGGCTTTTTATTCAAAAGAGTAAAACCAATATCAGACCTTGTATTTTAGTAAAAGACTGTTTTAATTACAACAAAAAAATATTTTTCATGACTATCAAATAAGATCTGCATATAAGAGAGTTAAAGTCATCTGTTATTGAGCAGTTTTTAAATGCAGGCTCTAAAGTACTTAGAAGATAATAGTGAATATTATAGAAGATATTAATTTATGACCTCAGAGACTTAGCATTTGGCAATAAAATAAAATTTAGATATTTAAGTAATGTCAGTTCCAAAATAATTCAGTAAAGGAAATTTTTCCATTTTGATGTTTTGTGTTCAGTTTTAAATTGTTAGTGAACTCTCAAGTATTTATAATGAGTTTTTCTGGAATTTTAACACAGTTTGTAAATTCATGCTTGTTATTTAACCCAGAGAATTATGACAATAAGTTTATATGACAAATTCAAGTAGAATCCACTACTGAGTATAAATCACATCCTTGAAACTTAGTAAATTGTAGTTTAAAACAGGGCTTTAGAAATAATCTTTTGAATTGTCAATCTCAGGGTTTCTGGAAGATTTCTCACATTAAATGTTAATTTAAAAAATTCTTCAGAACTTAAATTACTGTGACCAATTCTCCTAGTTTGCCCCAGACTGAGGGGTTTTTCAGGATGCAGAACATCCAGCGCTCAAATCAGGACAGTTCTGGGTGGCTGAGATAGTGGGTAGTAACCGCCGCCCCCCCCACCCGCACTGGCCTGAGGGTGGGGGTGGCTCAAAATCAAGCCAGACAAGCACCAGGATGCTCAGATGAGATGCCATGCACTCCCTATCACTGGTAGACAGTTGCTTTTTATAAGCATCTTGGAGAGATGCTTGGACTTCACTATCTTCATGATCTCTTTTAAACCCAAGATTCCATAATTCCTAGGTTTTATTTCTGTGTGCCAAGGGTCTTTAAAGAAGTTAAAAGAATCCCTATCAAAGACCTATTTTGAGTTCTGTGATGCAAAGAGTTATTAAAGCCACTAACTCTCTCCTACTAATGCAGACTTTTCAAATATATATTTTTTAAGTTTTATTTATTTATTTGACAGACAGCGAGAGAGGAAACACAAGCAGGGGGAGTGGGAGAGGGAGAAGCAGGCTTCCCGCTGAGCAGGGAGCCCAATGCGGGGCTCGATCCCAGGACCCTGGGACCATGACCTGAGCCCAAGGCAGACACTTAACGACTGAGTCACCCAGGCGCCCCTCGAATATATTTCCATTCATCCACAGAAACACACTCTCACACAAAGATACTCACACCCCCTTTTCTTTGCCAAATCCCCCTCCCTCCTTTTTCCCTTTAAGACTTATAAATTTAAGGGGCACCTGGGTGGCTCAGTTGGTTGAGCGACTGCCTTCGGCTCAGGTCATGATCTCAGGGTCATGGGATCGAGCCCCGCATCGGGCTCCCTGCTCGGCGGGAAGCCTGCTTCTCCCTCTCCCACTCCCCCTGCTTGTGCTCCCTCTCTCGCTGTCTCTCTCTCCGTCAAATAAATAAAATCTTAAAAAAAAAAAAAAAGACTTACAAATTTAAGCCAGACTTGCTACTGGTCTTCAGTAGGTAAGCCTTAGCACTCTGAATGGCAATCTCAAGCAGGCTGGGGGCCACTTCAGAGACCCCAGGCTCAGCGTGATCCAGATCATAGTTACTGTTTGAGTCCTCCTCCTGAAAAACGTTAAATGTCAGCTCTTTTTGTTTAGAGTTGTTATCGCTCCCATCTTCTGGTCCATACAGGAGACGTTTGGTTTGCTGAGACTGTTGAAAGGTGTTTCCCTCTGATTGGCATGTTTGAGGAGCAGTAGATTCTCCTTTATCAGAGATAGTGGGTAGTTCCAAATGCTGGGAGCGAGGTGTCCCAGCTTTGGGATTCACATTCACAGCGGTTTTGTCTGACTGCCACGGGATCGCAAGCTCCTGTCCGGCCAGAGCCAGGGTTGAAGGAGTGAAAGAGGCCTCCTGAGGAGGGGAAGGTGGAGATGATGCACCTGGTCCCCGGAGGTCATCCAGAGGAGTGCTGGATCTAGACAGTGGGCTCTGAGGAAGGCTGCTTCTGGGTTGGGGTCCAGTTTCCGGCCACTGCTCCGACTCCAGGGGCTCAGATAACGCAGACTCGGGATCTTGGGAAGAAGCTGCTATTTCTTCCCATGGCCGCCCTGCTTCCCCCAGTTCTTGGTTTTCTTTTTCTTGCTTCGGGGATGTCAAGTCTTCCATGGAAGGAGTCAAGAAAAAACAAAGTTCTGGATGAAGGGGGGGAGTGCAGATATGGAAAGAGGCAACGCAAAACAGTCGGTTTGCTGAGGTCGGCTAAGCGATTTCTGGGTCCAGGCGGCTCCGCAAGTTGCAGCGTCCTATCTCCATAGCAACCTCAGGCAAGGGTTCCTGGAAGAGAAACCATGCACTCCTGTGGCCAGGATTCTAGGGAGGAGACCAAGTAAAATGAAAATCCTAGGTTTGTGATTTGGTGAGGTCTCTGCTCCTCTTCCTACTGCAGCCAATCGGACCTCCAGTTGACCAGTCGTGGTTGGAAACCTGAGAACTGGCCCCGCGCCGCGAGAATAAAAACAAAGGAGGAGGAGCCGGGAGAGTCGCTATCCAGCGCCGGAGAACATTCAGGGTCTGATAGTTTTGATTCAAGGTGCGCGGAAAGGGGTGAGTCATGCATTGGTAGAGAGATAATGCAATTACAGAGCGAGTGAGTGAGTGAGTGTGCATGTGCGTGTGTGTGTGTGTGTGTGTGTGGTGCGACAGAGACACAGACAGACCTTGGGAATTCAGGTCTGTAGGTGTGAATGAGATGTCAGTGTGCAGACCAGGAGAGTTCAAGACTCACACTTAGAAGGCAGAGATGTCTCGTCTGCGCCGTCCAAACTCGAGAAACTTTTAGAGGATGAACAAGGAAGTCCTGATTTTTATTCTCCCCCTGCTCATGGAATCTGCCAGATGAGTAGGCAGCATATTACCTTGAAGGTGAAGGCAATGTAGAAGGTTATCCTATATAAATAACACAACTCATGGGTTACCTGTTTTCTAATGACTGAAATTCAAATTAACCCTATAACTATATTGGTATAATATAATCATTTTTTGATCATATGAATGTGAATTCATAATTTTGCAATATTTAAGGTTGTGACTATCACCAATTCATATTCAGTCTCCAACGTGAAGAAGTTATAAAGGATGGGACTATATCTGGTCTGGACTATAAACAGTATATTCATTAGACTTTAATGTTCATTTGTCCTGTATTTCTCTTTTTTAATAAATGAATACTTGGTTTTTGACACTTTACATTGATATAACTTCCAATTAGCAAGATGTTGGTTATTAATTTTAACTTCATGGAAGAACGTAATCCTTAGCTCTCGCCCACTCCCAATTTGTTGGGAGAATTACAGAACCCTTCTATAAAACTGTGGACCTTTTATCCTTCACAGAATACATGTGTCTGTGTACACAAAATGTCGCATATAATTTCTGCTGGTTCAGGCACTCCTTGAAGTCAGACTCCCCAGATTAGAACCCTTGGAATAGACTCAAAAATGACAGAAAAACTAGAGTGATATATTAGTGGAGAAGAGCAACTGAAAGGAACACCTAAGAAAATGTCCATTATTTTTCCTGCTTTATTTCCAGCCCAAACGTCTATCTAGACTCTGACTCTAGTAATCCTAAAGTTGCTTCTCGTTCTTAGAATAACTATCAAATCTCCTGGCCTACTTACCTCTCCATTGTCATCTGGAGCCACTCTCCCTTGTGTGACTACCCTGATTCTTCTTTCATTCACTCGAATGTTCTGTATTCCTTCTGACCTCAGAGCAATTGCAGATGCTATTTCCTTTGCTTGAAAAGTTTTCCCTGTTCCTCCACTTAGTTCTTTCCCTTCAGAAAACCTTCCTTGATCCCATGGACAATTTCAGTTTCCCTTATTATGTGCTATCATAGTACCCTGTACTTTTCATTCTTAGCATTGATCACAATCTGCCATGGTAATGAACTACTAGTAAGTTTCACCTCCAGAGGCTTTCCTGGGTTGGTGAAGACCAGAGAAAAAGCCGCTCCTGCTCTGGGCAGGGGGATAGGGGAAAGTAACCATTCTCAAAAATGCCCAGAGCTCTCTGTTCTCTTTAACAGCGATTGCCCTCCAGGAAAGCTATTTTACTAGAGCCTAACTAATTTTTGCAAGGGTTTTTTGGGCTTTTTACTGAAGCCTAACTGACCTGAGGAGAGATATCCAAATCTAGCCCACTCTAGCCTTTCTATATCACCGGAGGTTGGAGAGGGGGAAGGAAGCTGAGAAACATTTGTGAAGGCCACACCCTGGCAACATGGATGGATTTACAAAGGACTGAGACCTATTAAAGGATTATGGAAGGCTTCTCCTTTCTCCACACCTTGCCACCAAGGCAGTGGGCCTTCTGTATAATAACAGTGGGGTTACACCAGAAGAACTGCAAACCTGAGATCCATTTAATAAGGAGTCTCTGGAGAAACCCAAAGGCAAGAGAGGACACAGAAACAAGGACACTAGAGAAGATTTTATCCTCTGAAACCACAGCTGCAGCAAACAGTAAACACAGCCTAACTCTTAGCTAGATAAATATAATACCTCACACTAAGGGTCTATGTATGTCAGTTCTTTTTACCTGATACATCCGTCCAGCTTTCCACAAAAAATTACAATGCATGCTAAAAGACAATAAATAGTCTGAAGGGAAAAACTAGCATCGGAACCAGATTCAGATATGGCAGAGATTTTGGAAATATCAAGCCTGAATTTAAAATAACTATGATAAATAGGCCAAAGGCTTTAATGGAAAAAGTGGACAACATGGAAAAATACCTGAGTACTCTAAGCAGAGAGATGGAAACTGTTAAAATCAAAAGGAAGTACTGGAAACCAGAATCACTATAAAAGAAATGAAGAATGTATCTAATGGTCTCATCAGTTTAGTGGACATGGCTGAGGAAAGAATCAGTGAGTTTGAAGAGAGGTTCATAGAAACTTTTCAAACTGAAAAGCAAGAGAAAAAAGAATTAAAAACTAAAAATAAAAAGGAACCGAATATCCAAGAGCTGTAAGATAATTACAATAGGTGTAAAATACACTTAAGGGAAATAGCAGAAGGTAAAAAAGAAAGGAACAGAAAAAATATTTGTAATAATAATGGCGAAGAATTTTCCAAAATTACTAACAGACACCAAACCACAGATCCAGGAAACTAAGAACATGCAGGATAAATACTAAAAAATCTGTATCTGGGCATATAATATTCAAATTTCAGAAAAGCAAGACAAAATCTTGAAAGAAGCCAGAGGAAAAAAAAACACTTTACCTGTCTCTACAGAAACAAGGTTAAAAATTACATCAAACTTCCCTTTAGAAACCATTCAAGCAAGAGAGTGAAGTGAAATATGCAAAGTGTTGAAAGAAAGAATACCCCACTAATCTGGAATTCCGTATCCAATGAAATTATCCCTCACAAGTGAAGGAGATATAAAGACTTTCTGAGATGAAGATTTGCTCCTTGCAGACCTGCCTTGCAAGAGATGTTAAAAGAAGTTCCTCAGAAAGAAAATGATAGAGATCAGAAAGTCAAATGTACACATGGAAAGGAAAAGTGTTGGAGAAGGAATAAATGAAGGTAAAAATCAAATCTTTAATCTTATTACTTTTAATTGACCTAACAGGTAAGAGTTTGATCAAAATACTTATACAGTAATTATTGGATAAATATAGCTTATGCATAAGTGAAATGATGGCAGACGGATTTGTGTTCAGTTACAAAGAAAGGAAGAAGTTCTCTGTGGGTGTTAACAAGGTAAGCTACTTTGGGTTATGCATTGATTGACCACTGGTTTTATCTTCAGAAATTCCGCAACTATGAGCCTTATGATCAGATGTCTGTTCTGCTGACTTGTCAAACAATGCTTAAAAGCAGTTGCCGTTTTGCCCACTCCACGGGTTTTGGCCCAGTTCAAACAAAAGCAGGTGAGGTGGTTTCTCTACAATGGGCATCCCAACCCCCTTTTAAAATGGATTGTCATGTCAGTTTTTCACCTTTCCCCTTTTTGATCTAGATCTTTCTCTGAAAGCTTTGTAGATCTCAACCATTGGAAGGTATTGCTGATCGACCATCAAGCATCAGTGATCCCGTGTCACCATGAAGGCTCATTCTCAGTGTGTCGTGTCCACGTAGGAGGGAAAGTGATTGTCTTAGGAGGCTTAGGCCACATTTGAGCAACGTTAGTGCCAGAGCAGAGAAAGGCTGTACCGTCAGATCCTAAGGCCAAATATCTTCTGCAGTTTCTGGACCTTCCTCATGGAATGTCTCATACACTTTAGAAATCGTTCCAAAATGCTAAGTGACCATTACCTGGGTGGCATCCTTATAACATTGAGCTATATAAAGGACACACAAAGTTTTACAATGATAAAAATTCCAATAATAATAATAAACAAAATGCTGAGTCCAAATTGGAGGATTGATCTAAACCAGGATGCAATTCCTGAGGGCAGTCGGCTAAAAAGAAATCAGCGGACACTGATTTAACCACTTGGATTGTGCCTGGGTTTTATCTAGTTCTATTTCTACTTCACCAGAGCTGTTTGCCCAAGTACAACCAGAGGTATTTATCCCAGAGCAAACCCCACATTGTTCAGCTCGGAGGGAACCAAGAACAATTCCATTAACGAATACAACTCGTGCAAGGGAGTCCAAAGATTTTTCTTGGATGGCTATTGCTTTAGCAACAGATTTAGCGATTTCAGAGAGATTTCTGCTCACATATTCATTTATGGGCAGTATCTACCCAAGGAAAAGTAATCTGCCAAACCTGGCAGCTTCGCTGGGTTGACACCAGCAGTCACTGATGACCCTTGACTACGTGTGAAGCCAGTGTCTCACTTTAGTCTCTGAAGTAAATTTAAAGGGATGCCCAATGCTAAGTTTCTGATTGATTATACAAATGAAATAGGTGTAACCAATAATCCAATTGCACAACAACCTTTACTTTGGCAGGGACTTAAATAGTGTGTTCCCCGTAAGTCCTTTTGCCAAATACAAGTAAAAATATACCCTGAGGAAGCACACATTATGGAGTCATTATGCACTGTAGTTCAATCAATAAGGTGGACCTGTTTTAGGAAGGAAATTAACTTAAGAAAGGAAATAAGGAGTGGCAGTATTTAAAAAAATATCAATAATCTGAGCATGTCTGAAACGTTGAGTTATCAAAAAGCTAAGGAGTTCACCGGTTT